GAGACAAGATTAGGTAACGGACAGGCTGTTGAATGTTGTGATCATTCGGCTTTTTGTTCTTTCTTCAATTAGTTTATTTTTCTCCATTAGATAGTTTATTAGAAATGCTGTCCTTTCATTATTCCTCTTTGGTTAGAAATGATATTCTTATCAGTGGACTTGAGACTGGAGTGTTTGGACGAAGGTCTGTTCTTTTATAACTGTTCTTTGCTGACTTGCGGTCTGTAGAGTTGTTTCTAGTTGGAAGTCCAAATGAAGGTCCTTAAGGTGAAGTAGCTAAAATCTGACAGTCTTAAAATCCAAAGTAGAGGCAAAATAGTGTTTTTGTTGGAGGGAAACAGTTAGGGAGGACTTGAATTTGGTTATGTATGAAGGTTATTAAATAGTGGGAAATACAGGGATCAAAAATAAGTTCTAAAAGCAGAGCTATTGGTTCTAAAGGAGGTGTTAACCTAGAAAAATAGGGCCACAGGGAATATGAAATCACATCAGTCAAACCCATCATAAGTTCCCTGTTCATGAAGTGTATTTGCTCTTTTTTAAAATGTCTTGAAAGTTAGTCTATATGAATAAGCATTTGAACCATGGAGAAAATAAGGTTTATTTTGAGGATGTATACATATATATGTAGATATATTGAAATAAGGTTTCATGTTTCATCCATCATGTTTTATGTCTTCATAAGTAGAAGCTAAAATTATTCTGGCTAACAGAGGTAAACATAAGGTATATGTAGGTATAGTGGATGGTAATATACCCAAATGAAAAAAGAGGGAGTAGGGTTATTATTAGGGTTTCCACCATGGACAAAAAGGGAACCAGCCTGGTACATAAGCTGGGAACCAGCCTGGTACATAATTCATCCATAGAACAAGAAAAGTAGAAGGCTAGGCTGGGCTCAGTGGCTCATGCCTGTAATCCTAGCACTCTGGGAGGCCAAGGTGGGTGGATTGATTGAGCTTAAGAGTTTGAGATCAGCCTAAGCAAAAAAGCAAGACCCTGTCTCTACTAAAAATAGAAAATCAGAGGCAAAAGGATCACTTGAGCCCAAGAGTTGGGGATTTCAGTGAGCTATGATGCCACAGCACTCTACCCAGAGCAACAGCTTGAGACTTTGTAAAAGAGAGAGAGAGAGAAAGAGAGATAAGGATGAGGACAAAGGACAAAGATAGTGAGTAGTCATATGTATTACAGTATTGTACTGAAGCTCATGTCATAAGGCTTCTGTTGCATAAATGGAAGCCTGGTATTGATAATGGGCTGGCAGGTATAGGCCAGTGGATTTATGGTGGGTGAAGTATTTTCTAAGGAGGATCTGGGGGTTCAAGTCAGGAGAGATTAATCCAGGATGAAATTTCCAGAATCTTAGTTGCAGTGGGGGTAGTGAGAATTATTTGAAAAGGACCTTTTCACAAAGATTGAAGGGGCCCAATTTGTCGTGGGAATCCTTAAGTGAAACCCAGTCTTCAGGCTGTAAATGTTGAAGTCCCTTAAATTAAGGAGTTGACATATTCCTATAGGAGTGAGCTCCACTGCTGGAAAATAAGTGCCCAGGGGGGATAGGGAGATTGAGGTGAAAGTTGAGAGGAGAACAGAACGCCACCACAAGTTCAAAAGGCTAAGAAATAAATCTTCTGTGGGGGAGATACAGAGTCCGAAAAGAGCATAGGGGAGGAGGTTTATCCAGATTTGTCTTAGTTCTAAGGAAAGCTTTGGGAGCTGTTTTTTAATTGTTGAGTGAGACTTTTCTATTTTCTTGAGGCTTAGGATTATAGGCTGAGTTGTTTGTGGACAGCGTTTGAAAGAAAAGGGTTGCTTAGAGACAGGGAGTTAAGCCATAGATGGTTAATGTTGAAGACAACAAGTTAACCAACACATATTTAAACAAACAAAGGGACAAGTGTGTGGTGTGATCTTTCACTCTTTTTTTTTCAGACCGCTATTAGATAGTCTATTTTTCTCCATTAAATAGTTTATTAGCAATGCCACTCTTTCACTCATGTCATGAAGACCATCTCAGATTCCTCACACTGGCTGAAGAGTTTTAAAGGGGAACAAGTCCTGGGAAACTAGGTGCAGGAGCTCACTACTTCCAGGTCATCATAGATTGTCCCTGAGATTATCTTGAGTATTGGCCATCAGGTGATCTAGTTGGCATCAGCTAGACCACAACAGAGTTGAAGGTTAAGTGTTTAGCATTTTTTTCTGCCCAGGAGGGGTATGGGGGTTGGGGAATCCTCCAATCTTGCTTACAGGGTTAGTTTTTCAAGGTCAGTTGGTGGGGATTCTTAAGCACACAATTAGGTATTGTAAAAGAAAGAGCTAGTAATTAGCTTTAAGATGGAGTGACTGTGACTTTTGTTATCTTAACCTTCCTCTGTAACCTTGCAATAATTTTAACAACTAAACTGCAGGTTTAAGGTATAATGGTGTTTATGTAAGACCCTTAGATGATGTAAGCAGAATCTGGTTGTGGCAAGGTACTCTACTTTTAAAAAGGAGCTTTCAAGATGCTATTTCTCTGAATAATACCCTACTTATAAAAGATATACTTAAAGTTTGTTTAGAAAAATTAATCTGTAGTAAATTTGAAGTGAAAAAAATTTTTCTTTCCATATAACCCATCATTTTATTGTCCAGAAACTTTCTGGTTTAGATTTCAAAATGTATTTTTTTAATGTGATAAAATTTCCCAAGGGCAAGAATAAATTACATGGCTATACGCTGTTCTCTAACAACAGAGTACCAGAGAGAAATATTTAAATAGTTCCGAAAAGAGAACTTCCAATTCAGTCTAATAAAAAAGAAATTTAAGAGAGAGGTTAACCTGATCCCTTTTTATAAAATACAGTTTTTTCTACTTCTAGATCATCATAACTTTTTGGCTCCATTTTTTTAAAAAATGAGTTTCATCATCTTTCTCAAAATATTTACTATTGTTGAAATGTAGATACTATATAAAAATATGATTTTGAAACAATGTAGTTTGATATCCCCTCTATTTCTTGATCCTCCTAAGGTCATCCTGTGTGATTTCCTTTAATGAAGAGGTGACCAGGGACTTAGTCACCTGTGTCTATTGTGCAAGTTGCTCTGGAAGGTCTTTCACCCAGTCTACCCACTTTTGGAACACAAATGACAATTTGTTGTTTTGTTGTTTTGTTTTCTCAAGCGTATATGACTTGTGGCCATCTTTCATCTGTGAGTTTCCTGATGACTGTCTTTCCATGTTTTCTTGGGTCCACAGAAGAATCATTCTTTCCGACTCCCTTGCTCCTTTAGTTGATGCAAATAGTAGGGCAGTTCTGTGAGTCAATCATTTCTTATCATTTTCTGACTGCAAAATCTCTTTCACGGAATAAGTTCTTTAAGCTTTAAGTGAAAGCTCTGTATGTAGCTTTGGCAACGGGAGGAAAGTAAAAGATTGTTGGGTCTAAAAGGAAGAATCAAATGTTGATTTTAAATAAAGCCTGAAGAGCCGATGAAGGGGTCCTCTTTCAGTTTTTCTGAAACTGTGTTGTATTGACAATATGGTTTTGTTTGTCTGTGTGGTTTTGTTTCTGTTTTGTTTTTGACTTCACAGGAAGAGGTTTAAACATGAAGGCAAACCCTTTAGGTGTCAGCATGGCTACATATAAAGCAAAGCTGCCTCTTTTATTTTTTTCTTTTCTCTGCTTCCATTTAGGCCTATCACATAATTTAAGAAAAATTAAAAACTTAACCACAGGAGCTCTAACTATAGTGTGAAAAAAAACCCTGATCAATTTTGTTTTCGCAGCACGATATTATCAAAGATTTAAGAAACAAATTTGCCAGCCTCGGCGAGAACTCTCTGGTAACAGCATAAATGTCTGTGTTGGTTGCTTTTGATTTAAAGGTTTCTTTATTCATTTGTTTGAGCCCATTTCTTTTCCCCCTCCTTTTAGTTCACTTTATTTTTCATATTCTGTAACTAGCAAGCCTTCATTTTTTAAACCTCTTCCATCTTCCAGTGTCTATTTTCCGTACTTTGGATGGAAAGTTTATGGCAGCAAAGCTGTCACTCTGGCTACCTCTGCTGCAGCTCTTCCTGCTCTTAGGTCATATATGTTTTGGCCGTTGTGTTTACGGACATGATACTAATTGACTGTTTCATGTCCCATTGACTAAGCTTCTCTACCACGCCATTTGATGGACTCGCTATCATAGGGCTCTATGCAACTTTCTGCAACTTATACTGCTTAGTCCCGTCTCAATTCTCCAGCGAACTGGATTGCTCAAGTGAATGGTCATACCAGTCTTGAACTCGCTGTGCCTTTATATTTTATTTTTATTTTCTCCTTTATGTTTTCAGTGGTAGCTTAAGTGGAAAAGAACAAACGCCAGCCATTGCTCCAGCAGCACCATGCAGTATTGTTTCTTACCACCAGAGAATACAAAATATAAAGGCACATTGCATCTCTTATCCTCAGGGGGTGCGACTGGGGAGATGTGTATCATAAATCCACTACTTAGTTGAAGCCTACCTTATGTCCATATCAGCTTTCAATTTTGCTTAACCTCCAAGACATCTCGGTCAATGTTTTTCTGTGATTCAGTGACACCCTGCAACCCAAGCCATTTGCTGAGCAGTATCAAGTTATGGCCATAACATGGGAGATTATTAAAAACGTGACAAACTTGTGCACGAATGTATAAACGAGAAAGTGCAAGTTTCAGTGATGAAGTACAGCACTTCAAAACTGTGACCCAGGCTTTGGATGAATCAAATCATTCAAATTGAGAAAAATCCATTCCGATAAACCAGTACCAAAAGTATATCAAGAAAACTATAAAGGGGAAAAAAAAAACAAAAACAAGAGTTGAATATGTTAATATCGTTGAATAACATTGTTGGTGTTGAAATGGTCCATAATGTTGTCATAGAGCCCATACATGAAGAGATGACTGGAAATATGGTCTATAGAAAGCTGCTTTGCTTACTGATAGCATCAACATAAACGGTTGGGATTTGTGTTCAGGAAAAGGAAATGGAAAAGCAAAAGCTTCTATACCAGCAAGCCCGACTCCACGATCGTGGTGCAGCCGAGATGGTGTTGCAGACCATCAGTGCCAGCAAAGGTAAGCAAGGTTCCTTGGTCTGCTCTTCAGATTTCCTCTTCCTCCCTAGGTGCTTCCTCATTTCAATCCCCCTCACTCCTTTAGTCCAAGAATTTTTGGTTCCCAAATACGTGTCCCAGCTCTCATCATTTATGGAACACAATGTTAGCTTTTTTCAGGGTCTTACTAAATTTATTTTATTTCTTTTTTTTTTTTAAGTTTTGGAAACTATATTATGACTAAACTCTGGGAGATTAATCATACAAAATGGGGGTCAGCAAGCTTTCTCTGTGGGACCAGAGAGTAAATATTTTTAGCTTCCAGGGCTATGTAGTCTTGGTGGCAACTCTTCAGATCTACCATAGTATCATGGAAGCAGCCAGAGAGACTAAGTAAGCAAATAGCATGAAAGTGTTGCAATAAAACTTTATTTACAAGCACAGGATGCAAGCTATATTTGGTCCTCAGGCCACAGCTTGCTGACCCTCCATGTAAATGTTGAAATTATTTAAGTGACTCCTTTTTTTTTTTTTTTCATTTGGAGACAGAGTCTCACTCTGTTGCCCTGGGTAGAATGCTATGATATCATTGTAGCTCACAGCAACCGCAAACTCAGGTTTGAGCAATCAATCCTATTGCCTCAGTCTTCCAAGTAGCTGGGACTATAAGTACCCACAGCAATGCCCAGCTAGTTTTTCTATATTTAATAGAGACAGGGTCTCACTCTTGCTCAGGCTGGTTTTGAACTACTGAGCTCAAATGATCCTTCTGCCTTGGCCTCCCAGAGTGCCAGGATTATAGACATGAGCCACTGCACCTGACTTTTAAGTGAATCCCTTTTAACGATTAAAATACTATTGTATATATCAGTAGCCAGCCTTTGCAAGATGAATTTTCATGCATTAGTAATATCTTATTTGTGAAAACATTGTAAATGTATGGAATGGAATGGAAAGGTAATGGGGGTATACTTTGTTATAAAATCCCCCCCCAATTATGAAGATTAGTTCTATTTATAAAATAAGTAAAAGTTAATAGTGAAAAATATACTTTGTTATAAAATCCCCCCAATTATGAAGATTATTTCTATTTGTAAAGTAAGTAAAAGTTAATAGTGAAAAATAAAATATAATATGTTAAATAAAATTTGTAATTATTATCTGAAGAACTTAAAATGGAGAATAGTGATCTTAATAAACCAGACTACAACATATTAAGATAAAAGTATTGAACTGACAATAAAATTGTTAAGAAACAATACTGTTTAGGGAAGAGGGAGAGAAATTTTTCTTAAAGAAAGTTGTAAGTAGGGCAGCGCCTGTGGCTCAGTGAGTGGGGCACCCATATCCTGAGGGTGGTGGGTGCAAACCCAGCCCTGGCCAAACTGCAACAAAAAATAGCCAGGTGTTGTCATGGGTGCCTGTAGTCCCAGCTACTCGGGAGGCTGAGGCAAGAGAATCGCCTAAGCCCAAGAACTAGAGGTTACTATGAGCTGTGATGTCACAGCACTCTACTGAGGGGGATAAAGTGAAACTCTGTCTCTAAAAAAAAAAAGGTTGTAAGTAGCTCGTATTTAAAGAAGACTTAAAATATCTGATTAGTTTTGAATATTAATGATTTCAGCTCTCAGTATTTCAAAATTAATTGTTTCTTCCTATTCTTTTTTTACTCTACATTTTCATATCATTTCAATTCTTAGATGTATTACTCAGAACTTAATAAAAATGTTGATGTATTATTGTATCAATGGTTTTTGGCACATAGATCAATCTGCATCTCTCCACCATTATTCAGATTTGTAAGGGGGTAATTTTTAAAGTACACCTTTTCATATCAAATAAGTTAATGTAGAAGGTAAGGTGATATGAGGAACACTATTGTTTATGTTTTTAAGGTGAAACTGGACCGATGGTAGCTGCCACTTTGAAACTTGGAATTGCTATTTTAAATGGTGGGAATTCCACAGTACAGCAGGTAACATCTTTAAGTCAGTCACATACTGCACTTTTCAAACAAAGGGACCATATCATATAGTAAAAGAACTATTTGTTGTAATTTTTTTTAATTTTCTATGTAAAATATGTCACTATTTTATCATAGTACACAAGAGAGAGGGGAAGGGGAGAAAGAATTCTGTGTTAGTCCTATTAATCCAAACATAAAATGCTGTCGGTCTGAAAACATTAATCTAAGTATGACCTTTTGCCCTGACAAATGAACTCTTAGACTGAGGCATGAACCATTGTCTTACCATCCCTATAAGATCAAACCTACCAGAAGGAACCAGCTTGTTCTAGTCCCATAGTATGCAGCTACATGGTTTCTTTATTTTTTAAGAAAAAAGGAAAATTCAAGAAAACTCACCTAATGGCTTCAAAATATTTTATCAAAAAATAATTTCTCTTGCATATGTTTTACCTAAAGAGACCTTCAGAGATATATATTCAGAAATCCTTTGGTCCAGAGGGAGTCCAGGAAACTGTAATGTATGTACTTGTCTGTCTATAGAGGAAAAAAAGAACCTGTCTTTTTTCTCCAGAGCTTCAAATAGGCATTCCATCCTCCTTTGACTCTCTAAGCCACACTTCCCTGTTTTAAAAGTCTAATGACTAATAAACATTTCATTTGTACTTGACTTACAAATGTCCTACCCTCCATAAATGGCTGTTTTTTTGAGTGTGTGTATCTGTGAGTTCACGTTACACGTATACATGCTTACACACACTTTCTATGTGTTGATATTTGTGTGTGTATGTGTGCACATGCATTCACGTGGGTCGTTATGAAAATTTTGAGATCCACAAAAATCAAGAAACATAAAGTCTGTGGGGATGGAAAAAAATGAAGCCCTCCCAGCAACACTTGATAAGTCAAGTAAGTTCAAAGTTGCACAGGTGGATCAGAAAGGACACTTTCCTGTGTTTAAGTGAGATAATGGACCACAGCACAGTCTTTCTCCAAACTTTTGTCACTAAAAAAGTTTTAGAGTGCATATATTTTACATATCTTTACATATTTGTTTTATATTACCTTTAATATCTGAAACAAATTGCTCCCCCAATTTTGACTATTGAACTTTGACTATTGAATTTTGACTTTTGAGACCTGTTTAGAGCAGCCCTGGTAACAGGGATTATTCTGCTCTATTCAAGATTTGGAGAAAAGCAGCACATCTTTATTTTCTTGGAAAATTGAGTATGGGGGCGGTGCCTGTGGCTCAAAGGAGTAGGGCCCTGGCCCCATATACCGGAGGTGGCGGGTTCAAACTGGGTCCAAGGCAAAAAAAAAAAAAAAGCAACTTGAGTATGCTTTCTATGATCCTGAATGTACTTTTTAATTTGAAACTTTCAATATGTTTTATGCATGTCAGAAATAACTATCTCCTTGTGTTGTGTAGCAGTGAACTAGTGAGACAGAGCCTTGCTTTGCTTTAGTAATTTTTACATTTATGGCTAGCCAAACTTTTCACTACAGATTCTAGACATGATTCAGAGAACAGGAGGAAAATGTAATAGTCAAATCAATACCATTCTATCGATTTAGAGACTATGGTAGCGGAAACTGAATTTTTATCTGTAGCGTTAGCATGTATACAGCAGCCACGAGACTCAGATTGTAATGCTGTTTAAGAAAATCATTTTTGCTTGGAAATCTGGGCACGGCATACCCAGAACTTCCTCCCAGTTAATCTGGACTGAAGTACATGAATCTCCAAATAAAGACTCCTCAGAAGCAAATTAAAAGCCGTATTTCTCCTTAATATTTATGTTCCAAGTCCTGTTTTTTATTGGGTTGTTTGTTTTTTAACTGCTGCAGGTGGAAATGTCCAACTCTCTTGCTTTGACCTGATGGTCACTATTTCAAGATGATAGCAGCTGTATTTGTATGCCGTGAATTTTTTATAAGTAGAAGCCTGCTTTATTTTTTTCTTTCTTTATTTAACAAAAAACAAAGATATGTCTTCAGGGCCATGTGGTTCTTGTATTTCCTGTAGAAAATGCTTGACTACCTCAAGGAGAAAAAGGACGTGGGCTTCTTTCAGAGCCTGGCTGGCCTGATGCAGTCCTGTAGGTAAGGCACGCCTCCTTCCTTGGGTTCTACTCAGTGGTGGCATTTTTCAGAGTGTTTGTTTTCCATTGTTGACAATCATTACACATGAAAGAAGTTTTAATGATTAAGGACACTTAAAATGGGACAACGTGCAGTGTCTGTCTCTACCTTGCTTTATAGGGTAATGCTATAATGACTTACTCAGTGTTAATAATGTCTTTAAATAGTGTTCCCCGGGCTTCAGTAGGGACCTTGGGGGAGAATTAATGTGTATTTTGCATACTTGAAAATGAATTGCATTTGTTCTTTACAAAGAGAAAGAAGTAAAATTCTATTTCATTTTATTTGAGGGCTTGTAGGTCATTTTTTTTTTCCTGACTAAATGACCCTTCATCAACTAAGTTGTGAAAATTATTTTCTATTTTTTACAGTACTAAAAGTGGTTTGGGGGGGGCGCCTCTGGCTCAGTGCATAGGGCGCTGGCCCCATATACTGAGAGTGGAGGGTTTGAACCGGCCCTGGCCAAACTGCAACAAAAAATAGCCAGGTGTTGTGGCAGGTGCCTATAGACCCAGCTACTCAGGAGGCTGAGGCAAGAGAATCGTCTAAGCCCAGGAGTTGGAGGTTGCTGTGAGCTGTGACGCCACAGCACTCTACCAAGGGCGATAAAGTGAGACGCTGTCTCAAAAAAAAAAAGAAAAAATAGTTTAGACAGCATTTGACTAAGGAACATGATAGACACTTAATGTAATTAGCTGTTCCAAATGCAAAAGCATGATTTTATTCTATTTCTGCGTGTCTGCTACTTTGGCAGTGCACACTGCGAGTTGAAACCTCTTTGCCTTCCCCACGAATCAGGTCAGTGAAGGCCCTGGGGAGAAGCTAGTTTGCTGCTTGGGAAATTTGAGTGGGGACCATGGGATGAAGACGTATTCAGGGAATGCTAGCATTTGCTTCCCATTTCAGGATCCACAGTGTTCACACATTTGCTCTCCTGAACAAGGAGAAGGCTCTATTCGTCCTCTAAATGCTTTTCTCCTTGTTATTGTAGCGTCCTTGACCTAAATGCGTTTGAGCGACAAAACAAGGCTGAAGGACTTGGAATGGTGACAGAGGAAGGATCAGGTATTAATCACTTCCATCAAAGCATCCCTTGTTCCCCCGTCCTCCCTGAACTGAGTCACTTATCAGTTACCGTCTAAGCAGGAGATACAAAGACATTTTAAAACTGATGAAATGCTTGTGGGATTCATCCGACAGGTCACCAGTTGACATTCACAGGGGTCCTGCCCCCAAACCAACCTTCCATGTCCAACCTTTCATTAACCCCTTCTGGTCCTAGCTCCTTCCTCAGCAGACTTTCCCATAGTTGGGTGTTTAATAAGAATAAAGTCTGAAAGGGCGAGAAATCTATTGTTAGAAAACTATCTGTAAAATCATAAAAAATACAGAATAACCAGATGTTTGATTTTATTTGGCTACTGTAGCAAACTCTCAGGCACGCAGCAACTTTTATCTCCTTAGGATAATAATCTTTTCAGGTCCTTTAATCTGAAGGATCTGCTCCAACTGTCTCCCCTCTTTTTGGCTAGTGATCTTTCTGTCTCACATACCGATCTGTGTCTGCAAATCCAGATCGGATGAACGAGATTAAAGAGTAATTTTTGCGCTTGAACAATCCTGATCACTTTTATATTGCACAAAAGTAATGACTCAAATGCGCTTAAAATGTTTCGGTCTCTAAGCAGATGTTGGTAGGAAGTTTACATCAGAAACCACCATCGCTGCGGAGTAAATTTATTAAGAAAAAAAAATTATCTTCAGTATTTTTTGTTTTGATTTTTTATTCTTTTATATTTGATTTTGAAACTATTTCAGTTTTACTGAGGCCCTGTGTATTGATCTGTTTTTGTTTGTTTATCTGGTTTGGCCTTTTGTCTCATCAATTATTGGTTTTGGAACTTTGTTTTTTTATTGGACTAATCTTATTTAAAAAAATAAATTTTCTCCCATTGGCCATTTGTAGTCTTTGCTTGTCTTTCTGAAATATTGACTAATCTCTCTCTGTATTTTTTTTATTTTTGCAAATAGGTAAAAGAACTGCATATTTCTTATTATGCCCGAAAATATCATTTATATACATTCTAACGCCACTACCCCGCTGTAGATCCTGTGTTATTTTATTTTCTGCTTGACATTTGAATGTGTCTGTCCAGTCATCAAATATAAGTCACACTTTATTGAGTTAGCTATCTTCAAAAAAGTTGCTAGTGCCACTTTAAACATACTTTGGTTTTCTAGCCTGGAGTTCAGAAAGTTCTGAGGTTCTGGCCTGAGGCTGAGAAGGCCAGACTTTCAAGAAAAGTCACCAGCCAGCACTCTCAGCTTAAGTTCTCTGGCCCCATCTGGAGAACTTGGATCCAGTACAAATCTCAGGGCACCGCACCTGCCTGTCTTGAGCATCTCTGAGAAGTCTTTGTGAATTATTATGTGAATGAATCAGTGAAGGAATTATCTGTCCAAAGTCTGACTTCCCGTCTTAGAATTAGAAATCAGTATCATTTTTTTCCCTGTAGTTATTACTTAATGTTCCAAAGACCCTGACCACAATTCCATTAATCCTTCTTAGTCACTGGTCATCTCAGCTCCCTCCAGGGAGTATCGGCCACACGGGTTTATTTCCCTGATCCTTCATCAGCCAGATACAAATTGACATAACGTTTTTGAGTCTCAAATCAGAAATAACTTTGTGCAAGTGACCGTTCTGATGTAAGCATTACTCACGTCTCTCAAAATGAGGTTGGTTTAATTTAATGTGTGCCTTCTTTTTCAACACATGCACAGAAATCACCCAGACTGATGAACACATCTTGTATTTTATTTCCTGACAAAGAGCAAAACAAAAACCGCATCTCAACTGTTTTCTTTTTCCCCATTTCCTTTTCTATCGACTACTGTAAATGTACCATCCTCCCTTCCTCAGTCATCACTCATGAGCGTGGTAATTATTAAAAACGAACTGTCTTTCATTTACTTGCTCTTCCTTTTGTTGTTAGCTTGGTGTACAGACATGGTAGTGACCATTCTTGTGCATTTTTTCTTTTATAGACTGTTTTAACAAGTAGATGACTTAATTTCCATCATTATGCATCCTCTTATTTTTAAAATTTATATATTTAGCTTTCCTCTTTTTTTCTTCTTTCTATGAAGATGTAGTTATGAATATATTAGACATAAAGGGGCAAAAAGCATTTTCAGTTATGTTTTTTGATTTGTTTTGTTTGTTTAAAAACTTTTCTGGTGGGCGCAATGAACAAATCTTAGGATGTGTGCTCTGGGCTCCCTGTGGTGTTTCTGTCTTGAACATACTATGGCTTTATGGCTGCACTGAGTGGTGAATAAAGAAACCAGTAACAGATCCAAGGTCAAGTGTGATGAGCTGAGTCTCCCCTTGGCCAGTGTGCTCTGCCAATTGACTCCTAAGTATTGGGAGGTCTGCAGACTTTTCTCTATTCCTTTGAAAACATCACAGATTCAAAATCATTGAACATAAAATCTAATTGTTATTCTTGACACTAAGTTCAAAGAGCAGTAGAAACAATACATTTACTCTTCAGACTAATAGAGTAACAGAAAAAGCAATAGTCTTATAAGTAATTTCTAAAAGACATTGCAGCCTGGTGCCATGGTGCACAACTGAAGTCCCAGATCCTTGAGAGGCTAAGGAAGGAGGAATACTTGATGCCGGGATTCAAGTTCAAGACCAACCTGGACAACATAGCAAGATATTGTTTCTTTAAAAAAAAAAAAAAACCCTTGCACTTTCTACTCTGAAAGACATTCTATATAATGGTAATAAAGAAGGGATGAGATTTTAAATAGTACATAGTATAGCAACAAGGCTTCTGAAATTAAATTGTGCTTTCTGAATACATACTATTGCCTTAATCAAGAGACCTATTAGGAGAACATGCCAGGGAATCTCATTAGTTCTATCAATATTATACTGTTTTCCAGATAGTTTTAAAAACTCCTGTACTTACTCTTTTTTGGCATATTGTTAAAATGTCTTTTGATTAAGATTCTCTGATAGTTAGGAAAAGCCCACACCCTTATTGGAAAAGAAAAGACCACTGGCAGGTCTAAAAAAGCCTGTAAACCCTAAATCATCTTAGTGATGTGATTGCTTCAAAACCTGACTCTCAGAAAGTGTAGGCTTAGCACTGAGAAAATAATCTCCTCTATCTAAATCTCCGTCCTAACTCACTGTCTTTGTTAGGCTAAATCTCTTTCTGCTGATGATAACGTGACCATAGATTATGCAGCCACAGAAAATGTGTTAACTTAAACACGTGAACTTTTCTGACACAGCCTTCCAAAGAGGTAGCTAGTATAAGGTGACCAGATTTTAACATTGGTAAAGCAGGACACCATTCATTGACTAGGGGGGCGGGGGGGCTCTTAATTAAAAATTTGGTCTATATGGAGTAACAAAAATTTTAATAGAATGCAAAAATAGTATTGTAATATACTTTTTAAATTTCAACATAAGTACAATTTACAAATATAATACATACAAAATTTATGTATAGTATTATTTTATTCTTTGGCATATTTCTCATTTGAGCGAATTTTTTTTAGTAGATTGCTGTCATTGTTTAAAAGGTCATGACATTTTGCACAAGAATTTGTTAAATTATATTTCACACATAAAATGGGTTTCAAAGTCTCAACACTTAATTGTGATTTTTCTGATGTCCACACTTTATTTACCATAGGAAAAACGCATGCAGTCACAGCATTAGTTCCCAGTAAGGACAGCGTGTATCCCACAATTTTTAGTGTTAGTTGTTAGTGTCACTTTCAAGGCCAGTGCTAGACTTTTTGTTACCCCCATAAAATATAAGTAATATGAGTACTGTCTGCTAAATTCATAAAATAAATAAATTACTTACCTAAAATATCTGAATAGCTGATTTATTGACATCACTTGTTTAACTAGCACTAGCACGTAGTACATGTATATGGTATGACAGTTACAAAATGTTTTCGTCATTGCCAATGCCAAAAAATGCCATTGTTCATTAAGTCCAAACAATGGTGGTCGAATTCTAACAACTGATCAACAATGTGAACTTTGATAAGCAGTTCTCGATAATCAGTTCTCAACAATTATTTGTTATTATTAAAGTTTAACATTATAAAATTAACAAAAATAATATAAAACTCATATCCTGGTGAAATAGCCACATGGCAGCCGAAAACTGTCTATTCCCTTCCCGTTCTCCTGCCTTTCCCTAGCTTGTTGTGCATTCTTTCCAAAAGTCAGGACTTTTATAAAACGCCACAGGATGTGGGCCAAATTGTTAAAAATTGGGACTGTCCTGCTAAAAGCGGGACGTCTGGTCACCTTAATAGTACTTTGATTTTATAGGTATGGAGACAGGGACAGAAAGGTTACTCAGCTTGTCACTCAGCTTGTCACTCAGGGTCACACGGCCAAGTGGCAGGGCCAAGAATGAAATGCAGGCACTTTGCCTCCCAGTGTATAGTTTAAGGATTTCATGAGCTGGGTCCCTTCCCTCCTGTGTTTTCACATTCCACAGGAGCCTACGTCAGGTCCAGGTTTGACCCAGGTGGCATTTCTTGTCCTTTTACTTCTTGTTCTTGGCTTTTTCTGGAACACCAATCTATTAACAATGTTTACACTTACAGTCAAGTTTAGAGATCACTTTTGAACTTTCATGGGTACAAATAACACTCCTGGTTCAGACAATGTTCTGATAGCCTGTGCTAATACAAAGTGCACAGCTCTTCCATTTCTTAATGCTACTGTACTGACAGCGATGCAGTCCTCCAAAGACAGTGACTAGGATTATCTCCTTCATGGTGCTGGGGGCCTCGGAGGTATAGTTAGTGATGGCGTGTAGGGAAGTCTTCAGAATGGACTTCTCATCATTACAGCTAAAGGAATCCATCTGGGTATCAGGGAAGTAGGATAACTGGAATGTGCTTTTGAATAATGACTCAGAGGCAGTGTGTAAGTTGGGTATCACAGGCCGTAGGCAGCAAGATCAGTTAGTGTGTCCACAAAAGAAATGGATTCAGGGCAGCAAGAATTTCAG